CCCCCTGGGCCTCCTTTTCTCCAGGCTGAGCTCTGTTCCCTCCCCAGGACCTGCAGTGCAGCCCACCCGCCCCTGGGGCTGCCCATCCCTGCCCTCCATGCAGGGACTGGCCCCAGGCTGGCCCTCCTGGCCCTGGTTCTCTTGGGCTGGGCTCAGCTGGGCTGGGCTGGTTCTGGTTCAGCTGGTTCTGGGCTGGGTAGGGTTGGACTGGGTTCAGTTGGGATGGGTTGGTCAGACCGGGTTGGGTTGGATCTGGTTCAATTGGATTTGGTTGGTTGGACTGGGTTGGGGTGTGCTGGGTTCAGCAGGGATGGGTTGGTTGGACTGGGTGGGTTAGACTGGGCTGAGCTCAGTTGGGCTGGGTTGGGCTGGCTAGGCCGGGTTCAGTCAGGATGGGTCGCTTGGACTGGGTTCAGTTGGGCTGGACTGGTTCAGTGGAGGTGGGCTGGTTGGGCTGGGCTGGGATTGCTTTCCTTTGGTTCACTTCACTGTTTGTTCTAAGGACAGGACCAGCAGCTCCCATCGCCTCGGCCCCACCTCCACCCCACCCAGCCTTGGCACACACAGGACCTTCCTCCTTGGCTTTGGGGACGCCATCCCCAGCCCCAGTGCCACATCAGCTTAACCAGGGGCTGCAGTGACCTGCAGGGCCTCTCCTCTGCCAGCTCCTCTCCCCACACCCCCAGGAGGTGCCCCAGGCCAGGAGCAGCCACTGGAGACAGGCAGTGAGCTGATCCCACCCCGAGCACCGTCTGCTGGGCCTTTGTGCTCGGGGGGATCCGCTCTCAGCCCTATTAATAGTTAATTCAAAGCCTTGCAACCGGAGCTGGGGTGAGCTCTGTGTGGGCTGTGCATTATGGATGGAGCAGGGGGGGCTGGCAGAGCCCCTGCAGAGCCGAGGGGACACAGCCAGGGGGGTTCAGTCAAGGAGGGTCAGCTCTGCAGAGCCTCGAACACATGTCAGGCTCAGCGGGACAAGAAGAGTTCGTGGTAGGATTAAGTGGAACTCGTCTCCGTTACCTCAGCGAGCTCCTCCACTTTTCAAGGGTATTTCTCTCCGGGTGCCACTCTGGGTGAGCAGGAGTGATGTGGAGAGCAGCACCACCCTCCTGGCAGCACCTCTGAGCAGAGAGTCCAAGATCTCTGTTCTGCAGCTCCTGGGAGCCTCCTCAGCTCCGCTGGGTCCAGCTCCCTGTGCTTCAGACCACAATTCCTCAGTGGAAGGAATTCTCCTCAAATCTTTTCCCCACTGTCCCCAGTTACCACCCAACTGTGCACATCTGAGGGAACAGAGGCAGGACATGTCAGTGTGCTCACAAAGAGCTCCCAGCCCAGAGCCCATCCCGAGGGTGCCAGAGCCTGTGTGATCCCTGAGCTCCTCCGTGCCCAACCCCAGAGCCCTGGAGCTGCCCAGGAGCAGAAGCCAAAGGGTTCCAGTGCACCAAACCTTCTTCCCTGGGAGGGTGGGCAGGCCCTGGCACAGGGTGCCCAGAGAAGCTGTGGCTGCCCCATCCCTGGAAGTGTCCAAGGCCAGGCTGGAGCAACTTGGGATAGTGGAATGGGGTGGAACTGGATGAACTTTAAGGTCCCTTCCAACCCAAACCACTCTGGAATTCTACAAACCCACTTTGCCCATTAAATGGATGTCTCCTTAAGCTGTACCTGAACTCTGCTTGTTTCAGGTGTGGATGCACCTCCCGATTTAGACCCTAAACTCCAAATCCCGGCGAGTACAAATTTAGTCCCAAAGGGACCAAATCCTTCCCAGCGCCCCTGAGTCATCCCGGCCCTGTGGCATTTATCCAGCCAGAACTGGGGAGCGGGAACAGAGCGTGGAATCCACGTCTCAGGGCCCACCAGGGCAATCCTGCCCGTTTGCCTCATTCCCTCGGGGACACAGGGAAGTGGGGACGGGCCCGTTGCACCAGGCGAGCCCAAGCCGAGCTCCATCCCCTCGCTTCCATCAGACCTCGGGCTCAGAGCGACGGAATCGCGTGGAATGAGCCGCTATTCCCTGCCGGCCTCTTCCCACC